GGGAAGACCCCGGCGCCATCTCCCCCCACCCCCATCCTAGCGCCCTCCACCACTATGGGGACATTCAACCAAGGAGTGAGGAGGTCCTGCCCTTGCCCCTCGCCCTACCCCACCTCCCAAACAGGGGAGACTCCTGTAGGAACCTTGGAAGGACACAAGATGCCAGGCCTAGCGCGCTTGGGGATCCTCTGGACAAGGCCACAGTGACATCTGCAGGTGAGGATTTTGCTGCCCTCTGGGCGTCCCTTCAGCTTCCAGCCTTAGTCTTTTTCTCTTTGGACTCAGTCTAGAGACAGATTAGGATCTCAGGAAGGCTCAGTCCTCTTGTTAAACTGAAAGGGAAACTGAGGCTTAGAGGTTAGTGATTGACCAGGGTCAGGGGCCAGAGCCGAGGGGCCAAACAGCTCTGCCCAGCCCTGGCTGCCTCTTCCTCCCCGGCACAGCACAGATCCTAAGTGGGGGCCCTGGATCAATGATCACTCTGGACAAGCTTTTGGATCCCTCGGACTCCATGATCAACCATCCAAGTTGCTGCTTACAAATGTCTGCTTCCATTGAAGGTTTCCTGTAGTCATCAGCTTTCTGGAACTTTCTGAAATCAAACCTTTTTCAGAGTGCCGGCAAGTGCTGGTTGGCTTCGGAATGGAGATGTGGCCTGCTGAGCACTGGCAGGGCTCCCCAGAGCTATGTGGACCCAGGCCCTGGGACCCCCTGCCCGTTCCTGATGGCATCTGTACTCTCCCTCCAGCACCTGAGGAGGTGTTTGACAGGGACCCACCGAAGACAGCATGAAATGCTTGACAATTCCCAAGGAGCCGTGGAGCCGTGGAGGCTCCAGAAACTTCCAGGCCCCACTCTGCCACTCTGGTCCAGTATTGGGACCCAGAAGTGGATCAGATCCAGCCCAGCACTTGTGGGCTCCAAGTTTAGCAAAGGAGAGAGTTTCATGCTCTGGAACAGTTTGCCTTGGAGTCTTGAATGGCACTTCCCGGGAGGGCACAGACTTCAATGCACAGAAGGGGAAACTGAGGCAGCCCTCAGAAAGACACAATTTGCCAAGGTCACACGGCAAATCATTGTGTTTTTTTCCTGAGGCTAGGACCCACAACTTTGCATTCTGGCCCCAGGCTCTTTCTCTGAACTTTAACCCCAGAGGCCAGCCTTTGAGACATGTACAAGGTCACCGTATTATGAGCCAAAGACCTGGTTCAGAATCCACCTCCCCCAAGTATGACTGTGTCACTTGGGTCACTTCACTGTCTGCACTAGGCCTCTGTCCCCCAAGACAGATGGCCTCTAAATAGCCCTGGCTCTAATTGTGGCTGGCTATAGGTCACTGCCGAGGGGGCTTTCTCCCACCACTGACGCTAAGAAATGCTGGAGATGGTGGTTGCTTCAGCCACAGGCTGTTCGGGCCACTCTGAGGATGACCTGGGGGTCAGCTTTGCACACTTCGGACCCCATCGGACCCCTCCAATGGTGAGTCCCCCGATGAACTTGGCACCAAACTGTGTGAATGGCCCTAGATAGGTTGGGTTTAAAGAATGGAAAAGCAGGTCAGTATTGTACTTGCTGCCTCCCGGTCTACGCGGGCCCGATCTCCAGGGACCTGAGGTGAGCCTGCTCATCCAGTGCTCAGAACTTGGTCCTCTGGGAGACTACAGACCCCAGGGGACATGGGCTCATGCCCATCGGAAACTGAGTCTCAGGGTTGGAGCATTCCCTTTCCAGATCCTGAAGGTGCTGGGCTAGGTGGGACCTGGCTCAGAGATTCCCAGCGTGACAGAGTGGGACCCCCGTCCATTTTGCAAATAGGGAAATGGAGGTCCAGAGAACAGGGGGGCTTGCATGATCCCCAGAGGACTGGTGGCAGAACGAGGACCAGAATCCATGTCTCCTGATCCTCCTGTCTAGAACCGCTCCTCTGCATCGGACACAATCTGCTGACATCCACGCTGAGCTCACCTCCTCTTTTTCCCAGAGCTTTGAATCCTTGGCAGAGGGCGCCTCTGCACACCCCTGTCAGGTCTGGGCGATCGGGAGCTTTCCCTTCAACCAGATGGTTCTTTCCTCCGAAGCTTCCTGGTGTCCCCTCCCCGCCTACCCGGTGCTCATTCCTTCCTGGTTCCAGAAACTGCTCCGTCAACAGGCCACTGCTGCTCTTCCCTTTTTGCTGTAGTTCGGCCAGCTCTGCAGTTCTGGCACTCTTGGGGTGCAGATCCTCATCCTCCCTTGATTGAGGTCTCTCCTTGATTGCTCTGTGGGCTCCCCTCCTGCCTGTGGCCCAGGCCTACTCTTCACCTCTGATCCTCTGACCCTTATTCCCCATCCGTCTTTCCTGGGGTCCCCTGGACCATGCCCTGCAGACACCCTCCATGCTGGCCCAGGGCCAGTGGAAATAAGCAGCCCACACCTCAGAGGGGTGCTGTGAGGTTTATGGAGTTGGTACCTGCACCAGGTAAATAAGGCGCAGGAACATGCTGCGACGGTGAGTGCTCACATCTCCAGGTGCGCTCAGGTGAGATCATGGAAAGTCTCGAAGCTGGAGCCTGTGGCAGCCCAGGCAGCTGTGAATAGAAGGGGAGAGAGGAGAAGCAGCAGGAGGGGCTTTTGGTATGGGGCAGCAGTAGCTGGGATCCTGTGGGTTTCACCTGGGGGAGAGCATGTTCAGGTTGGCTTCTAGAGAACTAGCCAGGGGGCTCAGTTGCTGAATCCTGAAGGGTGTGTTGGGCTGAGCTGATTCTCCATCCCTGGACTTGGGGAGCACTATGGGGGGCACTGATGCCCAGGCCCAAGCCCTCAGGGTCACTTACCCTGTGTCCTTTGGCTTTCCCAGGACCCCACTGTCATCTCTGTCCTTTCTGCTGCAGCCCCCAGCGGGACCTACTCCATGTAGTTATCTCAGACCAAGCCCGGGACAGTGTGGCGAGGGCCGGCAGGTGCCAGCCCCTGCACCACTCTTGCTGAACCAGTCCAGGTTGGCTCTGCAGAATCTTGCTCAGAATCACATTTTTCAAGTTAACATCATAACAATTCACGTTCCATCATCCAACACATGTTTTGCTCCTTTTCTATACATCAGGCTGTTCTCTAAGTGAGCTCACTGACTTCCTGCATCAAGCCCTCGACGCCAGTGCCATTGTTCTCCTCACATCCCTGCTGAACAGGAGGTAAACTGAGACACAAGAGGTTTCGTCACTTAGTTAAGTGTCTCAGACACTCAGCCCAGAGCCTGGTGCAGCCTCTGCCCCTTCTGCCTTGGGTCCTTCAGCCAGCCTCTCCTCTCCACGTAGACCATATCAACCCCTACTGCCTTCTGATGGCCCTTCAGACAGCCAAAGATGCCAACTCACCCTCTTAAGGTCCTCTCTTCTCTGAGATAAATATCTGCAGTCTTCCATCTTTTAGACTTTTTTTAAAAAAATAAATATTTATGTGCTTCTTGCTTCATGCCGGGGAGTTGATGGTGAGCAGAGCAGACCATTCCCTCCAGGTGGCTACAGAAGATCAGCTCACCTCTGGAAAACAGTGCAAAGTTACTATGGCAACAAGAGCTGGGAGAGGTGCAGGGTGCCTAGGAACCTGTGACTGAGGATTTGGCTTAGGAAAATCAGGGAAGGCTTTCTGGAGGAGGTGATGTTTGAGGTGAGACATCAGGAAAATGAGATGAACCAGGCCCAGGGGATGGCAAATGCCACCCCCACAGAGGGCAGAGAATATGCAAAGACAGCTCGTGGAGGGCAGCAGGGCAGCAGGGCCCAGGCTGGAAGAAACTGCCTGGAAGAAACTGGAGACGCAGATATGGCAGGCTGCAGACTTGGGGGAGGTCTGGGTCCCTCCTCAAAGGTCCTGGCCGTGCCTCTGCTCAAGGCTGGGCATCTCAGTACCGTCCCAGCACAGCTGGAGCCACACCTGGTCCACACAGGGGCTGCCCTCTGTGAACACACCCTTGACCTCCTTCGTGGCTGCCTGTCACTGTAGAGAGCCTTTTTCATGAGGCTGCACTCCCGGTCCCTCCCACCAAGCCCCCTGCCCAGCACAGCCCGGTCAGCCAGACACTCGCCCCCCAGCAGCTTGGCTCAAACATCTCCCACATGCCCCCCAACACCTTGCACACCTGCTTCACAGCAGTCTCCCCTCGACGGTGAGATGGGGTCCGCTCTCCCTCACCAGCTTGGAGGCTCCATGAGCTCAAGGCCAGGCCCGTTTCACCTTGTCACATCACCACAGAGGCTGCCCCCACTCAGCCCTCAGGGAGCACCTGTGACCTCCTCACCGGGCCCCTCTCCATGTCCGGCCAGTGCCAGGTGCTGGGGATATGGAAAGCAGCCGTAGATGCTGGTGGGGATGCAGTCAGGTGAACAGGGGACGGCACTGCAGCGTGTGGGAGGCATGGGGTCCCTGCTGTGAACTGGTTTGGGTTTTGTTCTTGGTTTTGAGGGCCCATCTTCCTTCTCTTCTGGGCACAGGTGCCGCTCCTCCCTCTACTCCCGCGTCCTCCCCTCTCAGCCTTGCCCGAAGGTCAGCATCTTTTCCCACTGGGCTCCGCTCACCCCCTGCCACCCTTTGTATGGCTCCAGGTCCCTCATGGTCCCCGCTCAGTCTGCTCCCGGTCCCTGACCATTTCAATGCGTGTTTGCCGCACCCTCCCTCTTCACACGAGATTTGTTGATTTCATAACCATAAATAGATAAAATGTTCTGAATGCTTCCTTCCATGTGCTAGTAGGATTGAGGGAGTGATAGCATCATGAAAAGGCCTTAGGAGACAGAGAACAGCCTGCCAGGAGGCGCCGGAGACAGCCACCAGAGAACCAGCTCCACAGGAGGTTTATGTTTTCCCTTCACAGACATGGGGCCTGGGGAGCGGGCTAGAAGACCTGTCAGAAGACCTTTGCAAGGATTCAAATCCACCAATTCAAAAGAAAAATCTAACAAGACTGATCCAGTTAAAGATAAAACAGAAAAAAGAGAAGTGGGGAAACCTGGCTTCTAATTCTGGATCTATCTCCTTCTAGCTGTGTGACTCTGGACAAGTTATTTGACCTCTCTGAGCAGGTGTGCGGAGATTCTTCCCCTGGGTTAGTTTAGAGGCTTCAGAAGGCCTGGGATCCCACACTGCTGTCATTTTCCTTTCTGACAATAACTTGATCACCAATGTGGGATAAATCCCTCTTCCCGAAATGCAGTCCTGAGGGCTGGAGTTGGGACAGGGTGGAATGCAGTACCCTGCCTCTTCAATACCAGCTCCAGTTCATGTTGCCATGGGAACAGATGGGGAGCACCACTCCAGCCTGGGGAAGCCTCATCTGCACACCCACAAAGGGGGCTAGGCGTTGATGGGAGCCTATCCCATAGGGCTTCCCAACCTCTCCTCCCGCAACATGTACATAAGGAGCATTACTTCTCCAGGCACTTGGAAGAGTAAAGGGAGAGGAAATGATGGTTTGGTAAGCTCCGGGTTCAGAGAGTTTTCTGGGTGAGAAAGAGGGAAAAAGTGGAGATCTTCTTGGGTGAGCTCACCTTCTACTCTAAGGATGGCCAACTTTTTCTGTAATGAGTCAGATAGTAAATATTTGGGGTTTTGGGGGCGTATGGTCTGTGTTGCAGCTACTCAGCCCCGCCATTGTGGTGTGAAAACAGCCACAGACAATAGGCAAATGAATGGATGTGACTGTGTTCCAATAAACCTTTATTGACATAAAGACCAAATGGGTCAATCTGGCATTTGGGCCATAGTGTCTAGGCTCCTGGTGTTCCACAGGGTGCAAGAGAATAAGCCTGGGTTGGGAAGTAGGAGCTGGGCTTAAGGTGCAGCATTGCCAGTGCCTGCTGTGTGACTTTGATTAAGTCATCGTCCACCTCTGATCCCTACTTTTATCATCTCTCAAATTAGCATAGTAATATGAGTCGGATTGGTCATGAGAGGTTGTCTAACAGATCAGTGACACTCTAAGAGTTTTCTTCCCTCTCCTCCATCACTTTGAGTAGAGTTGCACCCGTTGCCCACTCCACCCCCACCTGGCCATGCCCCTGCCTGCGAGGGTGGGGGCAGCCTGCCAGAGCGGGAGGTGTCTCTCACCAGAGTCAGATTCCTAGTCTTCCTTCCCAACCCCCAGCCCCGAGTGGCCCCATTTCTGCAGCAAGTCTAGCACAGGAAGAAACGAGGAATCCCTTCTCTCCATCTCCCAGCCATTTGGCAGGAGGCAACGGTTCACTTGAAGGAGCGATGTGGCTGCAGTGGCTGGTAGCCAGGGCTTGGAGAAGGCCTCTGAGATTCAGGCTGGGGCTGGAGTCAGGAGAGATGAGCTTCTGTGCTCCCCTAGAACATTCCTCTATGGCCCCAGTTTCCCTGGGGCTCAAATTAAACAGCCACAGCTGGAATCTAGGGAAGGGCACCGCCAGTGGTCTGGCGGATCTTGAGCTTGTCCACCTGTCTGTCCTGGTGCTGGCCTCCTTGCTAAACTTTTCATCCTCCCTGAAGCCCATCAAGTGATTCATTCATGTCCCTTCTCTCACTTTCTGTTCCTCTTCTCCCCCTCCTTGTCTTCCCTTCATCCTTTCTTTTCTTTCTCATGGACATATTTATCCAGAGAAAGACAAGATATATGCAGACAGCCCTCTGTCAAGATCTTTGCCCCAAATCTTCAGAAAACTGCCCAGGAGTCCCCATGCTCCGCCGAAGAACCAGATTTCCCCCCCCACCTTCCAACTCCTTCCCAGGAGTCATTCTCCTGGAAATCTCTGGAAATGGTACACCTCTTCTGTAATGGAGGTTGAGGTGTGATGTCCCCCTAGGTTCCCAATAAAGCTATGCAAGACAGAAGCAAGGAATCCTGTGGCCTGTTCTTGCTATAAAAAGGCCTTTTTCGGAAAAAATAATAAAGAAAGGAATCAGCCAATCCCTCCTCGATGCCATCACCTCTTCTTGGTGATTTTTCGGGGAAGGAGTGGGCGGGTTGCCATGGCAACAGATGCGAGCTCTGCTCAGTAAGGAAGGGACCTTGATATTTTTTTCTCTCATTCTCTCAGTTGTGTGTCTGTGTGTGTGTGTCTCTGTGTGTGTATGTGCGTGCTACACATGACTGTGCCCACACCAGGAATTTTTTTTAAGAACTAAAGAAAGCCCTTCTCTTCTCTCAGCTCCCCAAATATGGAGTGATGGAAAACCACTTACTCCTGCAGGCCAGGAAGGATCAGGATGGTTCCAGAGAAAGGGGAGTGTTCCCGTGGGGCTGCCTTCCTCCATGTTTTTACTAGAAACTGCCTGTGACAAAGAGACCTTTGCACATGGTTGGGGGCTAAGGACTGGAAAGAAGGGAAGATGCTGGGTGGGGAGAAGAGAGCAAAGGATAAATGGTGCAAGAGACCAACAAGGGACATCAGAGAGAGCAACCAAGGTATACTGAGCCTAGGGATGCATGCAAGTCCACACACACTCTCAGATGCTAAGAGAGGGGACAGAGCAGACTCAGAGAGGGACACAAACACACACGGAGACACACAGGAAACTGTAAAAATAAATATACACAGGCACAAACATATAACTACAAGCAATATAGGAAGGTGGAGAGTTTTTGAAAAGATGCACATCGATGCAAGCCTAGGAAAATACACAAACGCACAGAGATAGACACACAGCTACAAAGACACATGCATACACATAGATACAGACCTACAGACATGTTTGGACAGACATGTTCAGATGCAGACACACAGGGATGTACAATCTCAATCTAGTGAGCAAACATTCATTCATATTCTCTCTCTCTCTCTCTCTCTCTCTCTCTCTCTCTCTCTCACTCTCACACACACACACACACACACACACACACACACACTCCCTCTCTTAAATTGCCCAAGCATCCTCCAGTAATAGTGCATAACTGGGGTTGCTGGTGCTCATCCAGTAGGTTTGGCTAGGAGGCTCTCGCTCCCCCTCCCCCATTCTTTCTACATATTCACCCGAAGCCCCTCTCCCAATTCACTCCCTTGCCCACTTTCCAATAGCCCATGGGCTGTGATGCCCCCTCACAGGCTCCCAATTCTTAGTCTGTTCTGCTGCTGCTGCTGCTGCCTGCCGCTTGGGGGGAGAGTGGGTGACTCAGCCAGGCCAGGATGACTCACACTGACAGTATTTTTAGCAGCGGCCAGGAGCTCTCTAGCGTGCCAGCCGCCCCCCTCCTCCTGCTTGCTATTTCTGAACCGTCACTGGTGATATAAATAGCTCCTCTCCCACGGCCTGAAGCTGCTGCCAAGCTATTTTTGGTTCTGCACAGTTAAAAATAGTTTCACGGAGGTGGGAGGCAAGAGGAGTGGGAGCTGGCCTAGGGAGCGGAGACATCCAGAGCTTCTCAACTTGAATCAGAGTGGGCGAACTAGGAGGAGCCCTCCTCCGCCCCCTCCCGTGTCCCTTTCTAGACCCTTCTTGCTTTCTAAAGCGCTTTCTCTCCAGCCCATTCTCCTGGAAAAATCCAAGGACTCTTCCCTCAAGCCCAATTCTCCTCCCTTGTTTACTCAACTCCCAGAGCCCAGGAATCTTGGCCCTTAGAGACCCCCACCCATTTACTCTCATAGAAGAAGGGGTCAGCTAAAGGGGGCTTCACCCTGAGGCCTGTGTGGACGCGAGCCCTGCTTCGCTGTTCCAGGTGGCCATAATCTGACTCTGTGGCAATGATTTCAGCACCGTGGACAGCGGTCAGGGCACCGTTCTTTCCTTGTGAATCTGCTCCTCCAACTGCTGCAGACTAGCGGGACCCAGTCAACAGACAGACCCCTCTTGTTACGGAGGAGCGCCACGAATGTCTCCCAGCCAGGACCTAAAACAACAGTAGGTGAAGAAAACAGGAGGCCTGCCCTGGGTTTTCATATGGAAAGGGAGTCCAAAGATAAGGGGAACAGAAGCTGGAGTGAGGGGTGAGTGGGGACATTGGTAGTTAGAGATGAAAAATGCAACCGAGACATACATCCTGAAGGGACCACCTCTCCATCATTCAGGCCCACAGAGTTGGAGACAGACTCCTGCACACCATTCCCCCACCTCAATTGTGCCGCTGACCCTAGGACGGTTTGTGTGATGGCCCAATCTCTGCCAAAATAGCACAAGACCATCAGGACAGGGTCTCCACAGCCACAGACCCCTCTTCTAGGACATCCTTATCCTCAGTTGCCTCTTCTTCCTCCCATGCTGCCTGTCTTGCTACCACCCATTTCGATGAGGACTGGGAGTTTCTTGACCCCAAACATTTCTTCTTGGTGTCAAAGTTCATATCCACCCTTCCTGTGTGACTCTCTACAATCAGGCCAACCCCTCTCCCTCAATTTTCATGTGGTTTCATTTCCAGTATTCCATATACCCCCCCTTCTCCCCCAAATAACTTTTCAGATAAAAATGTCTTCTAGACCACTCCCTGTTCCCTTTATGGGATCCTGGGGTAAGAGGCAACCTATTTCCCCAGTGGACAGCAGTCATGTGGGGTGAATAGAGAAAGAAGATAGTAGGGATATAAAGCAAAGAAAGGCCACACGATGTGGACACGACCTGAGAACGAAAAAAAGACAGACGTGATGGAACAGAAGGGGAACCTTAGGGGGCTAGGGGGCGCATAAACCTAGGACAGGCTACCTAGCATGCAATAAGATTTTAAAAACTGAGGGTTGGGGGGTGGAGAGTTGAAGATGGAGAGATAGCAAGGAAGCTTAGAGCTGAAGCTGGGGAGAGGGTTGCAGGGAGGCGTGGAGGAGAGCCCGGCCGAGTTTAAGGGTCCCTGGTAGGTGCTGCAGTCGCGGAGGACCCAGTGCGGCCCCCTCACTTCCCCGCAGCCTCCCCCTCTTCCCTGCCGGAGCAGCGGGGGGGAGCTCGCGGAGCTGCGCGGAGGCCGCCAGGCCCCGCCCGCCGCGGCGGCTGCGGCAGAGGATTCCTGTCCTAATATGGAGCTGGGATTCCCCCGGCCCCGCCCCCGCCCCCGGCCCGTGGGAGCGATCGAGGCTCCCCGAGGGCGGGGTAACCGCTCGCTTTGGGGGCCGGCAATGCGGCGGGGGGTTGGGGAGGCCCCTGGGTGAAGACCGCACTGTGCCCTGGGTCCCTGCCTCAGTTTCCCCCCATCAGCGACTAAGGTTAATTGATCGACAGAGAAACGAAGATTCATTGCAGACTGCAGCGGTGGTATTTCTAGTCTCGGCTGTGGGAAAATAGGACCAAGGCCGGACTCCACTGGCGCCTTTCCCGCAGGACCCCCACCTTTCCATCCCATCCTAGGGACTTAGACCCCCGTGTAACTACCCCTGATAAATCGCCAAGGCGGAGGCTTGGGAAGGGGAAGGGAATATTAGTATATTAATTCTTTGAAAATGGACAAGGGAATCCCAGACTGAATAGACCCCAGGAAGGAATCCCAGGTGTGACCTATCCCCCAAAGGCCAGGGAAAGTCCGTGCCCTCCCACTTGTATGACCTTGACCTTTGCCTGGCAAATGATGAGGGGGATTTGCCCATGACCCCGTTCCTCCCCATTCCTTTATCTCCTTAAAATTCGCTGTCGGCATCAGCCCCTTCTTGCCCTCTACGCTCTCTTGCAGGGGTCTTCAGACCGCCCTGTCCTGTGCCCTGTCCCTTCCCCCAACACACTGGGAAACCTGAGTCCCCACACCCCCGTTTCAGGCTTTTCTAAGGCAGCGCCAGGCTCTGCTCAGCTCCCGCCAGCCGCGGCCCCCTCCGCAGCCTGTCTTCTCCCCCTTCTCCCGGCCCCCCTCCCGCTCTTGTTCAACGTCATGGGATGACGTTGGAAGCCGGGGAGGGAGGAGGAGCGCCCCCCCTCCCCAGTTAGCGGCTCCCGCTGCAGCTTGCTTAGCCCAGCCTCCCGCTTTCCCGCCCCCCCCCGTCTCTAAAACGAGCCCCCCACGCCTGGCAGGAGCTATATAAGGCGGAACGAGGCAGGCGAGGGGGGCAGCGCAGCCGAGCGGAGCCCAGGAGAGGAGAGAGAGCGCGAGAGCCGGAGCGAGAGACTGGGAAGCCAGGAGGAGGAAGCCGCCGGTGCGTCGGGACAGGAACGCAGGTGTTCGGAGCGCCGGAGCTGGAGCTCCACAGCCGGCAGTCATGTACCGCTCCACCAAGGGCGCCTCCAAGGCGCGCCGCGACCAGATCAACGCCGAGATCCGGAATCTCAAGGAGCTGCTACCGCTGGCCGAAGCGGACAAGGTCCGGCTGTCCTACCTGCACATTATGAGTCTTGCCTGCATCTACACTCGCAAGGGTGTCTTCTTCGCTGGAGGTGAGCAACCTGGGGCTAGCTACGGAGACCCAAACTGGCGGGCACCGGGGACAGTGGATCTGAGGGAACTCGCTGGGACTGCTGCATGTCTAAGGCAGCATGTTGGCGAGCTAAGGAGAGAAGGGACTGGAGGGACTCGGAGGACTCGGGACTTCCTACTTCTCTTCCTGAGCTCTGTCGTCCAGACCTCACTTTAGTTTGGGATGAGGGTTAGAGAGCCTGAATGGTGTCCCTAGAACCAAATTTAGGGAAGGAGAAGAGCCAGGTCAGAGCACCCCGGGAATCCGGTGAGGGAAGCCTGGGAAGTTGTAGGGACGGAGACGCCAAAGCCTAGAGGAAGGGCAGCTGCAGTTTGCCACTCTGAAGGGCTCTACTGATGGCTCTGGGGCGCTGTCCGCGGTGCTGACCGCAACGATTGCATGTGAGGCGCTGTCTGCGGTGCTGAACCCAAGTCCACTTGGGAGCTCTGTCCACGGTGCTGACATCCAGGGCCGCTGAGGCTCCGGGACCCGCTCAGAAGCGTGAGGGCTCGCTGGCTGGGGAGTTCCAGCAACAGGTCCGCTGGCCAAAAGCTGCGGACAGCGGGTCAACAGGTGTTTGCAGAGGCAGGCTATGAGAAATTCCTCTGGCTTCTCTGAAACTCACCGAGCCTTCCTCACTTCTGCTTTGCGTTCCAGTCGTATCTTGACTCACCATGTCTTCTCATCCCACAGGCACTCCTCTGGCTGGCCCCACAGGGCTTCTCTCAGCTCAAGAGCTTGAAGACATCGTAGCAGCACTGCCTGGATTTCTGCTTGTTTTTACAGCTGAGGGGAAGTTGCTATACCTGTCTGAGAGTGTGAGCGAGCATCTGGGACACTCGATGGTGAGTACTGAGAGTGTCTTCAGCTCAGACTTGGGGTGTGAATTATGTACAATGAGCTTTCTACTCCTGAGAAACTGAGAGTTATCAGAGAGGGAGGGATCCTGCACTGGAAGATGCTATGGGCCAAAGATTGTCTCTTGCTGTCTTCACTAATGGTCATCTTTCTTTCCTTCAGGTGGACTTGGTTGCTCAGGGTGACAGTATCTACGACATCATTGACCCAGCTGACCACCTCACTGTGCGTCAGCAACTCACCCTGCCCTCTGCTCTGGACACTGGTAAGAACTGCCTTCTTCCTTCAGTCCAGTCTCCCTCTGCTCCCCTGTTCCACCCCATTGACCATCTTTCTCAGCCACCCACACTCTTAATATTTTTTTTCCTTATCCATCTAGATCGTCTCTTCCGTTGCCACTTCAACACCTCCAAATCTCTTCGGCGCCAGAGCGCAGGCAACAAACTGGTGCTTATTCGAGGCCGATTCCATGCTCACCCACCTGGGGCCTACTGGGCAGGAAATCCTGTGTTCACTGCCTTCTGTGCCCCACTGGAGCCAAGACCCCGCCCTGGACCTGGACCTGGCCCTGGCCCTGGCCCTGCCTCACTCTTCCTGGCCATGTTCCAGAGCCGGCATGCTAAAGACCTCGCCCTACTGGACATATCTGAGAGGTAAGCGCAGAGTTCTCAAACCTCAGGAGGAAGGCAGGCCAGAGATGATGGGACCCTAGATTCTGGAGTCAGGGGCAGGGAAGATGGGATTTAGTGGGCAGAGAACCTGGGAGGGAGTGAGGTGCATGTGTTCCAAGCAAGGAAAACACAAAGTTGAACTCACCCTTTCCACTTTCCCAGTGTCCTAATCTACCTGGGCTTTGAGCGCAGTGAACTGCTCTGTAAATCATGGTATGGACTGCTGCACCCTGAGGACCTGGCCCATGCTTCTGCTCAACACTACCGCCTATGTGAGTGTCCAGAGAGGCTGGGGACAAGACAGGGAGCTGGGAAAGGGGATAGGAGACCAGACCAATAATGGACTATGGTCAAGGCTGATGTTGGGGAGGTACCAGAGTAAACCTCAGGGTGAAGGGTCAAGGTGAGAATAGAACCAAGCTGGGGAACTCTGAGTGTCAAGGTCAAGGTGGGGAGTGAGAGGTGCAGGTTAGGGTAGTCAGAAAAGAAGTTGTTGGGCTCCTTCAATTCAGTGGAGAAATGAGCAAGGTGGGAGTTTAGGTGGTGTCACCTGGTGGGTATCCTAACCCTGCATCTCTTCTTTCTCCCCAGTGGCTGAGAGTGGAGATATTCAAGCAGAGATGGTCGTGAGACTACAGGCCAAGAATGGAGGCTGGGCGTGGATTTACTGCCTATTATACTCAGAAGGTCCAGAAGGCCCTATCACTGCCAATAACTACCCAATCAGGTGAGCTGCAAAGACAGGGCCCTGGGGGGCAGCCAAGGTCTGTATGGAAGAGATGCAAATCAGAGAACGGCTCTGGGAATGGACACCAAACCCTTATGGCTGCCTCTTCTCTTCTCCAGTGACTCGGAAGCCTGGAGCCTCCGCCAGCAGCTGAACTCTGAAGATACCCAGGCAGCTTATGTCTTGGGCACCCCGACTATGCTGCCCTCATTTCCTGAGAACATCCTCTCCCAGGAGCAGTGTTCTAACCCACTCTTTACCCCACCCCTGGGGGCTCCCAGAAGCACTGGTTTCCCAAACACTCCTGGACTAGGTGTTGTCTCAGCATCAGAAGAGCTTCCTCGACCACCTAAAGAGCTGGATTTCAGTTATCTGCCATTCCCTTCTGGGCCTGAGCCTTCTCTCCATGCAGAACTGAGCAAAGATCTTGTGTGTACCCCACCCTACACACCCCACCAGCCAGGAGGCTGTGCCTTCCTCTTCAGCCTCCATGAGCCCTTCCAGACCCATCTGCCTGCCCCATCCAGCTCACTCCAAGAACAGCTGACTCCAAGCACTGCAACCTTCTCTGATCAGTTGACACCCAGCAGCGCTACCTTCCCAGATCCACTAACCAGCCCACTCCCAGGCCAGTTGACCGAAACCTCAGCCAGAAGCTATGAAGACCAACTGACTCCCTGCACCTCTACCTTCCCAGACCAGCTGCTTCCCAGCACTGCCACCTTCCCAGAGCCTCTGAGCAGCCCTTCCCATGAGCAGCTGACTCCTCCCAGCACAGCATTCCAAGCACCCCTGAACAGCCCCAGCCAAACTTTCCCAGAGCAGCTGAGTCCCAATCCCACCAAGACTTACTTCGCCCAGGAGGGATGCAGTTTTCTCTATGAGAAGTTGCCCCCAAGTCCTAGCAGCCCTGGTAATGGGGACTGCACACTCCTGGCCCTGGCTCAGCTCCGGGGCCCCTTGTCTGTGGACGTCCCCCTGGTGCCTGAAGGCCTGCTCACACCGGAGGCCTCTCCAGTCAAGCAGAGTTTCTTCCACTACTCTGAGAAGGAGCAAAATGAGATTGACCGTCTCATCCAGCAGATCAGCCAGTTGGCTCAGGGCATGGACAGGCCCTTCTCAGCTGAGGCTGGCACTGGGGGACTGGAGCCACTTGGAGGACTGGAGCCCCTGGACTCCAACCTGTCCCTGTCGGGGGCCGGCCCCCCTGTGCTCAGCCTGGACCTGAAACCCTGGAAATGCCAGGAGCTGGACTTTCTGGCTGACCCTGATAACATATTCCTGGAAGAGACGCCCGTGGAAGACATCTTCATGGATCTCTCTACTCCAGACCCCAATGGGGATTGGGATTCAGGGGATCCTGAGGCAGAGGGCCCGGGAGGGGCCCCATCGCCTTGTAACAACCTGTCCCCAGAAGACCACAGCTTCCTGGAGGACCTGGCCACCTATGAAACCGCCTTTGAGACAGGTGTCTCAGCATTCCCCTACGATGGGTTTACTGATGAGTTGCATCAACTCCAGAGCCAAGCTCAAGACAGCTTCCATGAAGGTGAGTGCAGCCCAAAATATCAAGAATACGTCCCTGTCCTTCCAATGAGATTCAGGGTAGGCTTGGGGGAATCCGTTCCCCTCTCTATATATTAATTTTGCTAAAGGTACCAGCGAGAGTAAGAAAAAAACATTAAAATATTAATATGTAAGTTTTTGATCAGTGATGTGGCAGGCAGGGCCTGGGGATTGATGGCTGTAGAATCCTTTGGGAAGGTGTATGCTTCCTAACTCGGAGATGCCACCCCAGTTTACAAGTGAAGACAATCAGTGTCCCAGAGTAAAGAAACTGTCCTTAGGCCACATAAACATGGCTGAAAATTGATTCGAGTTCTGTCGATTGAGTTCTATCCCTAAAGGGGATGCCGAACAACAGTTTGTAGAAATTGAGGAAAGAAAGAGGATGAGGCTGAGCCCCTGGCTCCATCACTGTTAGTTCCCTGCTATGGCCCCATCATTTCCAAAACTACAACCACAGTTTCACGCCATCTGGACAAATTTCCTCTTGTCTGCTGAGCTTAGATGATTTGGTCATTGAGCCAACATATTTGACACCCATCCTATATACCAACGCTGTGCCACACTCTCAACCCTAGGATGCTCTTTTCTAATAGGCCTGACTGACTCTCTCCCTCCCTCTCTCTCTCTCTCTCTCTACAGATGGAAGTGGAGGGGAACCAACGTTTTGAATAAGTCTGTGACTTAACGTCGTCAAGTATGGCATATTGTCATCAAGACGTGGAGCCGCTCTCCACCCCCCCGGGACTGTTGGGGGGATTCTGGGGGCCAGAGGGGGATATATCTAATTTCCCAGGCCCTGAGAGATTTGGGGGGGTGGTGGGAGGGCAAGGGAGGGGAGCTTCTTTTTAAACTCAAGAGACTTCGAGCGATCCCAGTTTCCATTTCAATCTGTATTCACTCGTAGTGAGTTTCCTTGAATGCGATTTCAAGCGGAGAATGGGGGAGTCTCACTTCCCCCCGCGCTGCCCCATGGGCCTGGGCCAGTTCTCCACTCCTAGGGGCCAAGCCACCCCTGGGCCTTCGTGGGGGAAAGGCAGGGCCCACCTGGGCCAGCCTGTGCCCTGAGGGGCTCTTGACACCCACGTAGAATTCTCTACACACCAGTAACGGGATTTCAATTCCGATGGACTCTGCCGCCCTGGCGGCCCTTCCTGTGACTTTTGCGCCCCGCGCCTGGGGTGGGGGGTGCGAAGAGACGCTACGTTCCTTTCCGATGGAGGAAGGCAGACCTGCCGTCACACGTGTGCTTGCACGAACGCGTGTACCTGGTGCGGGATCACCCGGCCGCCAGACCGCCTGGGCCTGCCCAGACGGCCACCTCGTGGTGCTGTGGTGACTTTGTAGCCAACTTTATAATAAAGTCCAGTTTGCCTTTTTGGTAATTCCAGTGTCATGACTGCTGTGAAAAAGGAAGGATGGGGAGTGAGAAAGTGGGGGGCTGGGGAAACCTGGGGTCAGGATATAAACTCTGGACCTGCTTGGGCCCTGCATTTCTCCATGCGTGCATACCGCCGTGGCCTTCTAATCTGCATGTATCCTGTGGCACCTGCAGTGCCAGGACCTGGAGCATTGGATGAAGCACACGCCACTCCCTGCCCTTGAGGTGCTTGGTGTCCCATCCTAGAGGATATTGGGTTCTCCTACCTGCTCCAAGCCTAGTGTTCACAGAGTGGGAGCCAACAAAGGGCCTGGGATAACCTGGGGATTCAGCCTGGCCTTGGTCCTAGACGTGGTTTTGACACTTTTGAACACGAGTTCTTTCTTCTCCTGGGCTTGTGTGCAAAGTGACATCCTTGTGAGACACTGGAAACGACAACCACCTCTGTTATCCTTTCATAGGGCTTTTGTCCGGCAAACACCTCCACATCCCTCAGTCACAGCAATAGGTCTTCTTTTCACTGAAAAGAAACCGAGGCTCATAGGCTAAAGGCAATTTGCCCCCACAGTTGCTGAGAGGCGAAGGTGGGCAACATACCCACATCACCCTCATCCCAGCCCTGGGTTTATTTTCTCTGCTTCCAAAGCCAGAGAACCACTGTCTCAAATTATCCCATCCCAGGTTTCCCAAGAAGGGCTGGCTTGGACTGGAGCAGGGGCCTCTCCTCCAAGCGCAGGATAAGAAACCCCTTCCTTTTGTCCCTTCTAGGTCTGTAAGCAGAGGGGAGCAGAACTCAATGGATCAAGAGAAGAAAGTTTCAAACATGCTGTTTTCCTCTAAGCTTGAAGGCCCCAAAGCCACAGGGTATAGCTGATGAGGGTCAAATGAAAATTAGGAGACAGAAAGACTTGGATTCAAATCTCAGCTACACCCATTATTTGCTAAGTGGGTCCCAAACCCCAGTTTCTTCACGGGTGAAGTGAGGTGATGAAAGATTCTTGTCTCCCAAAGATACTCTTAGGACTGGATGGGCTCTCTCTTGAAGCAGATAAGCACAGGAAAAACTTAGTTGTTGAGTTAAACCAGAAGACAATGGCAATCTGAAGGCCTACAGAAGCCTCTTTCTCAAGGAAAGAAATATGACTCTAAGCTCCACACAGGGGCAGGATTTCAGGAGCTGGGAAGACATCCATGAGAAATCCCCTAACCTTCCTCTCATTCCAAAACCTCTGGCTCTGGGGCCAGGTTCTCCAGAGGATCCCTTAGGTCCTAGGGACCTGTCATCCCTTTCCCTCCTTGGATGGGTCCTTGGGTATAACAGGAGGGTGGAGTCTTGCCCTCTACCTTTCTTGTACATCTGTTCTCCATCTTGGACAAAAGAACTGTATTGTCAGCCCAGAGAGGATCCTCTCTTAACTCTGCTCTATCCCTAGCACCAAGCACAGGCCAGCCCATAGCAGGTACACAGGAAAGTATTCTGAGAAGACAATTTCTGAAGATCTGTCCAAGGGTTTGAGTTGAAAATGCCAATTTCTGCTAGAGAAGTATTGTTCCTAAGTTCCCAGAGAACAAAGAGCTATAACTTTTAGCTTGGAATCTTAAGTGACCATGATTCAAGACACATTGGTGTTACATCTGAAAACTGACCCGGTCATTAAAAACAAGGAAAGTTGGAGGAGTTATCAAAGCCTAGAGGAACCTAAGAAAACATTATGAGGGAATGTAACATGGTATACTGAGGGAGAGAAAGTATGCGAGTTAGCAAGGAAATCTGAATAAAGTCTGGAATTTTTTTTTTAATTTGTAGATGGACACAATACCTTTATTTTATTTATTTACTTTTTATGTGGTACTGAGGATCAAACCCAGTGCCTCACACTTGCTAGGCAAGTGCTCCACTACTTGCCCCAAGTCTGGAATTCTTGTTAATAAAAATGTGTCAGTATTGGCTCATCACTGTGACAAGTGTACCATATCAGATGTTAATAATAGGGGAATCTGGGTGTGGAGTGTCGGGGAGAACTCTGCTATTGTCACAACTTCTCTGTAAGTCTAAATCTCTTCTCAAACAAAACGTTTTTGAAATAAAATATTAAGAAATGAAAATTTTGTGTGTATGAAAAAAAGAAACACCACCCTGGCATTTGGTGATGGTAGAGAATCTGTTCTGAGGAGAAGAGTCCACGTTCACATCAAGAGATCCAGCCCACCTGGGCCAGAGCAGGAAAAAGATGAGGAGAACCAATGGCGCCACCTGCTGGAAGAAGCGCCTGCTGCTGTTCCTTGTTGACTGGTCCCAGTGTCAGAGCACCAATTCCATCTTAGAACAGATGGGAAAACTGAGGCTGAGGGCCAGGAAAGGACTTGTCCAATGGCACTCCTAGAGAGGCTAAAGAAACCATATCTGACCCTGGGGGTAACTGCTGTCCTGGGAGCAGAATGAATAAGAAAAGGCTCAAGTTTGGGGTCATGAAGACTGAGCTCAAATCATAGCTCTGCCCTCTCATTTTCTCATGTGACACCCGTGTGTGCCAGGAGCCGGGAAACCGAAGACAGACACAGTCATAGAGCTCATACCCAGGTTGTGGGAAAACACAGCGAAAAGTAAAATGTCTAAAAGGAGAGGGCAGCATGTGGGGAAGGAAAGAACCCGGGCCGAGTTCCGTGGTAGAATAACCAGTTCAAATGGGAGTGAGGTGACATTGAACTGAGACCTGGAAGACAAGAAAGAGGAAGAAGGTGCCAATCAAAGGAAAGTGGGAGGAAGGGCATTAAACAAGAGTGGATTTGACCTGTTTAAAGAATAGAAAGGAAGTCAGTGCCTGGATCACAGCAAGCAGGAGAAGTGATCAGAGGAGAGGAGAACTGTCGCTCCACGTTCAGGAGGAGTCCCGCCAAACCTCCTGCTCCTTTGTTGCAATTTCCACGGTTGTTAACTATTACTTTTGTATGTATGTGAATAATTGTCGTTAAACTTCCACCTCTGAAGGCAAGACCTGTGTCCATCACATTGACAACTATGTCCTCAGTACTGGTGGCTCTGAACATGCAAGCTCAGACAAACTGTTAGACAAACAACATTCATTAGAGCAGGGCATAGTGGTACATGCCTGTAATTGCAGCGCTCTGGAGGCTGAGGCAGGAGGATCATGAATTCAAAGCCAGTCTCAGCAACTTAACAAGACCCTAAGCAACTTAAGTGAGACCCTGGGGAATGTGGCTCGGTGGTTAAGCACCCCGGGTTCAATTCCCAGTACTAATAAACAAATATTCATTATAAGTAGTTTGTAATTTTTTGAAAATGCA